CAGAAGAGGGCACCAGATCTCATTACAGATGGTTGTGAGCCACCATGTGGGTGCTGGGAATTGAACTCAGGACCTCTGGAAGAGCAGTCAGTGCTCTTAGCCACCAAACCATCACTCCAGCCCCGATGACGCTTTTAAGACAGTGACAGTGCTCAGTAGCCCAGGCAAGCCTCAAATTCTCAGCAATAATCCTTGCCTCAGCGCCTCAGGTGCTGGGTTTAGAGGTGTGAGCTACCACACCCCGAATCCACTGATGCTCTTTGGAGTTACTGTCCTTTTTCTAGTGAGCCAGGTCTTCTGGAAACACCCCTAAACCAGCAACCCTGTGAGGGTTCTGTGAGATAAGAGCTGTGGTGGCGGTGGTGGTAATTTCCGTTGGAATGCATTCGCCCTGATGTAGCTGATCAGTAGATGCACTTTCATCAGGAACATAGATCTATACAGTGTAAGAGGCTCATCAGAGCTGTGTCAAGGCTTGTTAAACCTGATCTCATCTGTGCTGATTCACTTAAGGATGAATGGCCCTGTTAGGAAAGAAAAGCATCACTAAGTAAGAGTGAGTCATAAGCAGGAAGTCGGAAGAGCTAAAGGCAAGGACTGAAGCCTTGAAAGGAAGGAAGAAACAAGAAATAAGCAAGGGAAACACATCTGTGATGAGTAAGACTAGATGATGGCTCAGAACCCAAGCCCGTGGGCAGGAGCACAATGTACTTCTCAAGAATCAGGAGGGGTGTTTCTCAGAGGCGAGCTAACCTGATCAAGGGAACTTGACCAGGGCACTAAGGTAAGAGCATCCAGATGGTGAGGCCCAAACTGACTATGGAGAAAAGCAGGGGAAGGGAGAACAAATGGAAAGGCATGGCAAGTCATGATTCCACGAGAACGAGTAACTGGGGGAGAGGGCAGACACGCCATCTCCTCCTGCAGAACCCTACGTGCCCGCACCTCCAGTGGGTGCGCCCTTTCCAACCGGAGATCAAAGAGCGTGCAGTTAGAGAAACTTCCCGTTCCTGTGAGCTTCTCCCTGCTGTGAGCACCAGCCCTCTGGGCTCTGGCTCCTGGCCTCTGCCCTCCTGCCATGGCCCCAAAACGACAATCTGCACTCCTGCCTCAGCCCAAGAAACCCAAATCGGCTTCTCCCGGCCTGCGAAGGCAGGAGAAGAACAGAAGAAGCAAATGAACACGGGGCGAAGTACACATAAAATACTTAATCACGAGCCAGTGAGGACATTTTGAAAGTAGAACAAAAATGTAACAAATTCCGCCAACCATTTTTTTCAGAAGAGGTCAGAATTGACCGCCAAAATCCCAAAATGTTGGGTAACAACATTTGCCAACCATCCACAGTATCTACACTGCCTGGGGAGGAAG